ACAGTGCAATACTGTTTCCTTGCTTTTGCCCTGCCCACACAACCAAGTACTGCATTATAAAACAAATGACAAAACAGTGCAATACTGTTTCCTTGCTTTTGCCCTGCCCACACAACCAAGTACTGCATTATAAAACAAATGACAAAACAGTGCAATACTGTTTCCTTGCTTTTGCCCTGCCCACACAACCAAGTACTGCATTATAAAACAAATGACAAAACAGTGCAATACTGTTTCCTTGCTTTTGCCCTGCCCACACAACCAAGTACTGCATTATAAAACAAATGACAAAACAGTGTAATGCCATATCCTTGCTTTCAACCTGCCCACACAAAGCAGCATTCCCCAACACGAGAATTGCAGCAGTCACGTCTAGTCGCAAGCATCTTCCTCATATCCGATTAACGCAGATGGGTGCCAGCTGTGTTGTACAGTTAGGGTAACGTACCTGTGAATGGTCAGATAGAGTCTCATCAGCTCAGTGAACTCCTTATTCTCGTATCCGAGCATGGAGGTGAAGTTAGCGGACCAATCCTTATTGGTGTCGATGGCGCCGATGCTGGTACCGTCGCGGTAAAGGTTGCGATAGATGGTCGCGGCAATTGTTGGCAGCTTGCCAATGAGATCCATGCTGTCCTCGTAAATGTGCTGTGCATGGGAGATGGTGAGATGGAAATAAATACATTCTGTTCAATTCACTTACAGCATGGTATCGTGGAAAATGTCACGCGACGTCTCGCAAGCCCCATCTTGAAACCGAGAAATTTCGGCAAGTTTTTTTCCAGTTCAAATTACCGATACTAAACTGGCTGGCCGTGCCTGGCAACCAGGCAGCTGGGGATATAAATACCTCATCGCAGAGGAATTTCCAATAGCACGGTGACATTTGTAATAGAATACATTTTTTAAATGCTGTACCCACAAAGCTGCCAAAATTTCAAGAGTTAGTAGTGACCAAACAGATAACTGATAATAAATAACAGATAACAAACAAATAAAAAGATTATACTGCTACAACATACTTTCTAGTACTGGGACTTAGATATCATATCTCTCTCTCTCTCTCTCTCTCTCTCTCTCTCTCCAAGTATCATGACTTAAACCACCCACTCTCCTTATATTACTGTAACTTTGACCATCTGCTTCCCACTGTTACTCGACTAGCTTACAGCCTGGGGAATTACCTCACTACGTTGGAACTTCTAGTAAGCTGACATGTATTCTCTAACTTCCAGAACACCTACCTCCCAGTACTGTGACTTTGGCACTCCATCATGGTATGCCTTGGAGAATTTACTTTCACTATTCAACGCAGTGATAGCTGCACCAAACTGTGACATGGGATGAAGACGGCTAGGGAAGTTGTTCAGCATGGTAACAACATGAGGTGGCAGCTCTGCTCTCTGCGCCCACTCCTTGGAAATGGCATCCACCTTGAACAAGTACAGAACATAGTAACTACTTCCACTTGTGATGTCTCAAAGTACAAATAATATACATGCATGGATCTCTGAAGCGACATGTACATTGGCATCTAACATTAACCTACAATAATCATCTTACATTATGTGCAGTTATATATACCACACTGACACATCAGATATATTAGGTATGTCTACAATAAATGCAAACACGTATATAACTAGAAAGGGCAGTTGTCGCCAACTACATGTATCCCCCGTGATCTAGTATGAATGAAATATCTCTGTAAGGACGTAGAAGGTAGGTGAAGTTAAATAAGTCACAAAGACAAAGGTTTGTTAGACAACTCATCTGCCTGAGATGTGCAAGTATGTTAAAATTGGCTGCCTTAGGGGTTTTGGTACGCGACACACCTTCTCCCCAAGATGTGTAAGTATACAAAGTTTGCTCGCGCTAGGTCAATTAGGGGCAGAGTTATAGAGTAGAACAGCCAGAGTATAAGGGAAATATGATGAAGGTCAAGGTCAAGGTCAATGTCAAATAAAGGTCGCAGTGACCTGGTTTTGGTACGCTGCGCACCTTCTCCCCAAGATGTGTAAGTATAACAAGTTTGGTAGCGCTAGGTCAATTAGGGGTCGAGTTAGAGCGGAAGGGAGTGTCTGCGGCGGCGCCGAGCGGCAGCTGGACAGACATGAAACCATAGTATCCCCGCGACGAACACAATAAATGCAGCTAATACACACGCAAACAGCTCTTATTCTGCCTCGTGACCTTTTGCAATCACGTCAATCATCCTCAACCATTACACATGTACTACACATATACATATATTATAATTATCATATGTATTATATGTAACTAATGCTTAAATATTGATACCTGAGCCTTTGAAGGGACGTCTCCTGTGCACAGCAGCCAAAACAAACCCTCAGGGAGAGGTTCAGTTCCTCCGGGGGCTGTGGGCAGCAACTTCTGGCATTCTGGAATGCTTTTTCCACGGAATCTGATTCCCTCTTCGGGGTCAAGAACAGATGTCTCGCATATCATGCTCTTCATCCCTCTCATGCCACCGTACAGCTGCAACGCAACGCTGCACTTAGCAAGAGATTACAACTAATGGATTTTGTGATTAGGCATTTAACACTTACAATCTATTTTATTCATTTCTAATTCAATTAAACCAAGTAGTAGTTAAACAGTGCTGTTGCCAAACCATGACACTTATACTAGACCATGGGTAGGTCTAACCAAGCAATGCTAGGATAGCCTATATTTTGAATTGCCAAGTTAAAACGAACCCCAGCACAACAAGCACACATTATTTGCCAGCTACTCAACATTCAATGCAGGCTGAGTCCTACTGTTTCGAACGAGCAGAAACACATAGATGATTGATAATGTACCATGTCAACTTCGATGTGTCCGATCTTAGTCGATCCAAACTTGGCGCGAAACTCCTTGACACGCTGCATCTCCTTGGGAATGGCATTGCTGAGCACATCCTTGAGGTTGGTGTTCTCGACACTAGTAGCATAGTGTCTAGCTGCCACCAGGCTTGCCGGAGCAAACTGCTGCACGTGCTGTATGTGACGAAAAACGTGTCGCCGTGAATATCTTACTTTCGAACATGTACTTGCACAATTTTAATATTTTGCTAACACATGCACACGACCTAACTGTGTTGCATAGCAATATCTTAAATTTCCTAATATTTTCATACTCTGCCAGGCTTTATCAAGGGCAGATTTGGGTTTCACTCACAATCCAAATGTCATTCACAATTTGAAAGCAGATACTCACCATTATTTTTCCACATCATCTCGTGACTGTAATAATTTGCATTACTGTACAGAACATGCTCGCCATGCACCATGACCTACTTGCCATTTAATCAATGAGTGTCATGACGTCAGTCAAAACGTGAATGTTTTCTTATTCGCTATTTATATATTAATGCCTGTTGTTGGGGGCACTATGCTCTCATAGTGTTGCTGAGGGAAGGTATAGGACTATTCCTTCCTAAATCAACACTATGAGAGCATAGTGCCCCCAACAACAGGCATTCATGTTTTTAGTGCATCACATGACTTTGCAATCTACTCGGCAAATATGAAGTGAATAAGACAGTTAAGTTTCTTAAACGAACAATTTCAATTTGTATTAAACTGTCTACGTCACGAATTTCTAGCACCAGCAAGTAGTATATTTGTGTGTTATTTGTACAAAATAAAATGTATGAAAATACAATTAGTGTTTCTGTTTACTTTTCATGCTTATATACCTTCTTTATACTCCCTAATTTGCCGGTGCATTCGATGTAACAAAATGCTCGACACAAACACAACCGCCATTACTTCGAAACTCTTGCGTGGCGCCCAGACGCAGGAGATTCGTGACGTGAACACAATGCGTTATAATAACAATGCGTCGCGCAAGCAATAGTGCCCGCTCAGGCGGGCACTATTGCTTCACAGTACCTGCGACGTTATCCAATGGAATTTCAACGATTTATCACGTGATGCACTAAAATACAATCAACACATCGTGAAAATTAAGCCTTAGAGAAAATATCTTTCAAATTATTTTTAAACTATATATTTTGTAAATTTCAATTACATTTATGACTATCCTATTGCACAGGAATCAGTAGATTCTTGAAATTTAAAAAATATATATGTACAGTAAATAGAACTAAACTGAATTGGCGGCTACCACACATATTCCTTAAAAAAATCGTAAAAATCAGTAGACAAGTTATACAGTGATGGTGTATGCGTGCAGTCACGTACACAGCTCGCAAGTAAAAACATGCTGGATGTGCAAGTAGACTTAACAGGATGCCTTGCACAGGAATCAATAGAGCCAGCATGCCCGATTGCTCGGGGTAAGAAAAATAATGGCTGGGTGACAGTAGGCCATAATCCCGCCTAAAATATTATGGCACTACAATGACTACATATATTATGACATATATATATATACATATATAATGTCAATGTCATAAAGCAGCATTGTTCAGCAGATTATGTCTATGCTCTTTTTTTATTCCTAGTGTGATTACCGATCCAGTACCACATGTTAGTGACAAAAAATTGCCCCAAAAAAGCAGCAGTAACCTTGGCCCCTACACTAGTACCCTAAAATATTAGGGGCCCAGCTCAAATCGAGGAAAGATCGACAAAACTTACTAGCAGTTCCGAGCAGTTTAAAGTATCAAGTGAAGCACTTTTCATGCTAGTGGTAAAAAAATTAATAGGGATCCTAGGAAACAGTAAGCGAATTGTATTGATGTAATTGTAGCACTCCAGCCGTAGTGATCCCATTGATTATGGAATGCTTAGCTAAGCAAACAAACTCGCGCATTCTGGGAGACCTGATGAAATTCTAGGGCCCAAAATTATTATTACTCACCTTGAGCAACTGACCAAGTATTAATTATCACCATTGCCATTGGGAGTATATGTACATGTATGTATGTAATTTACAGATTACATCAATAAAGACAAAGGCTTCATGAGACATATCTTCATTACATCTCAAAAATATTGTGTAGGGCTAATAGCATCCAGTGAAGGGCAAGTGAAAGTTCCCTGACACTTGCCCTTTAGGGCAGTTGCTTCTAAATTTTACGGATTGAGCCCTGTTACACTAAAACATGCAGATATATTATTAATCAACATATAAATCCTTGTAAAACGATATTTCAATTTTCAATTTCATAGTGCATAATTTACAGCAATCAAAATGTATGAAATTATCAGATTTACTCATTTAGCCACAGAACCAATTTTTAAACCAGCACAAGAGTACTGGCCCACATTACTGTGTTCCTTGTTAGTATGCAGTAGCTTTACTATAATAGAAACACTAGCACACTAGTACCCATAATTTGTACCCAATTTCCCCAAAGACCAAGGTATAGATAGTGTACCCATTCATCACACCATATCACTATTACTTCCTAATATACCAACTAAAGTACACAGTGACACAGTTAAATAAAGAACTAGCATATTACTATTAGTGCAAGTAAATATGTAATGGCCATCAGTATACACGTGATATTTTGACATCAATGTAAATATAGGTTGAGTAATAGAATACAACAGCCACAAATTGCATCGAGCCTTCTGAAGTGACTAGTATGAATGAACTGAATAGTTATAGTGACTGATTTAGATTGATTGGGAAAATGCTAAAAAATACAATTTTCAATATTTAACTTCACAAACATATATGGTTAGAGAAAATAGGTGACATAGAACATGCTGGAAATGTGCATGGTTCCCAGCACCCATAGTTTCAATGAAATATTGATTTATTTAATACCATGCCCATCAACCCATTTGAATAGCAATCCCATGATTACCAGCTACAAATCAATAACAATCCCGGAATGTAATCCATGGTATGGGAACTACACCACATGTGTAACTAGCAGGACACCCGGCGTTGCCCGGGAAATAAAGCGCTCAGTTGGTGACCACTTGGTTGAAAGAAAAATACCCAAAAATCTATCTATCTATCCTCTATCCATCCTCTATCCATCCATCCATCCATCTATCTACCTATCTATCTATGTATACATGCATGTATAGCAAGTAACACACTGTAAACGCGCATTGTACACTAATCCCAAACAACAAAGTGCAAAGTGAATCCCGTTTACAGTATTTTGCTGCTGCAGGAGCCCGTTTATTTAGCGTTGCTGCAGGGGGGCTGCTACAGGGGCCAGTATATTTTTCGTTTTTTCCATTTTTTTTTTGGCTTAGATGACCTCAGAGGTCAAATCCAATGTGCCCATGACATTCAGCAGCAAAATTTACCCCTATTGAGTCTATGACATTTCTAGAGTGCTCCGCATTGATTTGCATCGAGAACAGACAGAGGCACATTCACAACTAGACAGAGTGCACTCACGGAGAGTGCATACCTCCGCCAGCGACATACGCCATATGCCATACGACTCACGAACACACGAATAACTAACGATATACGCCAGCATACTGACATGTACACGCTGGCTTGCCGCTCGTTGCTGCTGCTCGCTTACATGTACACGCTCGCTGGCTCGCTGGCTGACGCGCTAATATCGATCGCGCGAACACACGCACACGAGAGCGAAAACATAACCTCCTCCAACTCCGTTGGGCGGAGGTAAACATGTATTAGATATATATATACTTCTTTAGTATTGAGGGCATCACACATCATCCCTGCTCTGAAGGTCATCAAAGTACAAGCATATTCCAGGACCCTTGTAGTACATACATTACCATCATCATCATACATCACACTTACCATTCCATAACCCTAATCTGAATTAATCCCAACCCAATTTTGTATGTACAGGGGTCCTATATAGTAGGATTGAATCTAGCTCTAACCGTGTACATGTAGTGTCCGTTGGCACTATTTTGCGTTAATCGCGGATTTATACACTCTCGTGCGGTAATTTACCAGGAAATAGAGTTGAAACCGGAAGTCACGGTTGGATGGTTTTATCCGGTGAATTACAGCCGTAAATCCCTGCTCATACTGCAACATTTACCTGTTTATGTAACAGAAATAGAGGTCATACGTGTTTGTGAGTATTTAGACATTATAAAGCCAAGAATGCCACCTTTGTAAACCATTGATGTTGTCAGATGAAGACCGAGTTTTGTTCAGAGAAATTCTCTAGAAATTAATGTCACTGTATTTTGACCTAGCATGTAGTATCATGTAATTCGTACAATGTACATTAAGTCTCCATATGTTATGTTGATTCATTTATAGTGTAACTGTCCTCGAGACAGTTCGAAACAACATGTGCAGCCAGCACGGAGAAAAGCATTTTCTTCAACAACTTCGCCTACAGTCGACTCGGCAAAGGGTGAAAGGAAGAAATGTTGTTCGTTCTGCAAGGGTGATCACTGGAACGACCAGTGCAAATGCTTTACCGAAAAGTCTGTAGACGAACGGCGTAAACTTATTACCGAGAAGAGCCTTTGCTTTAAATGCATTAAACCGAATCACAGCAGCAAAGACTGTCGTAGCAGGTTCTCGTGTTCGACTTGCAATGGGAACCATCACCGCCTATTGCATATAGCTAACAACGTCAGCAACGCCTTGATCGAGGCCCGTCGAATCGAAAGGAATGCCAATCGTGCCAGTAAAAATCCAAGCCAAGGATAAGGTTGTCGTAACCCATGCATTCCTCGACAGTGGGTCTACCGCTTCGTTCTGCACCACGAGCTTACTCGATCGTCTAAACATGCGAGGGGAATCTACGAAATTCAACCTCACGACGATGAGCAATACCAGCGAAAGGGAATGTCAGTGCGTCTCGATGAGTGTCAGTAGCCTGATGACAACATTTCCTTGGACTGACAACGTCCTTGCCGTTGAAACGCTCCCTGTGTCGGCGAGTGATATTCCAGACAGCGGGACGTAGACAGATGGCAGCACCTGCAAGGCGTACAGGTTACTAGTATTCTGGCGCAGGCGTCGACTTGCTGATCGGAAATGACAACTGCAGCGCCTTTGGAGCCACAGGAAGTAAGGAAGTGCTCACATGGTCCGTTCGCCGTACGTACGA